TGGATGGGTTGTGGATGGGTCATGGATTGTGTGTGGGTGGGGGCGGGGGGGGGGGGGGCAAGAAATTGTTTGCCCAGGGTCCAATCAGCATTAAATACGGCCCTGCTGCTTCCTCACTAGGCAATGGGCAGGTTCTGCTGATGTACCAACATGGTGGGTAAAACCTGTCAGTTCTATCACCCTGAAAACAGTGTCAGCTCTATCACCACGCCAAGTGTGATAATGTTATTGATGAAAGTAATGTGGAGACTCACAACAGAGGGACAATAATGCTGTGAATACAGTTGCGCGGTATTATTGTTGATGGTCCACTCATTGAATCCAGGATTCCTCAAAGTACTAACAGGATCCGCAAGTCAATGACCCAAAATAAAGGGGAATTTTCAATATAAACTGTTATGTATTTTATAGTCAAAGCATTGAATCCGTACATTGATTTTGTTTTTTAGGTGAAGTTCTCCTTTAATGTTGGTAGCTAAAATAATGGATATTTTGTGGTTGGTATACCATCAGGTCCCCCAGTCAGTCTGCAGTAGAAGCTGTCCACCAGGATTTCGGAAGGCTCCAAGAAGGGGACAACCTGCCTGCTGCTATCAGTGTGTACCTTGTCCTCAAGGAGAGATCTCCAACCAGTCAGGTAAATAATTCTAAGATATAGTAATATGATCAAGATTGGAAGAATGTTATTGTACCAGCAAATGAGCAATTTTAGGAAAATCAAACAAAATCCCTACAATGATCCCTAAGCATGTGTTTTTCACTGCTCATAAGCAGGACCATACTTAATGTTCTTGGTGCCCAAAACATATGGACTAAAATTATTCTCTCTTGTAAAGGCATTTTTGTAGACCGCCATGTTATAGGATTACTACTGGGACCCCTCATCTACAGCTCACATTTGTGACCCTCATCCACAGTGTACTTCTGCACCCCTTCTGCACAGCTTACCTCTTCTCCCTTATCCATGTTTAAGTCTGCAGCCCCTACACCTCTCGTCCACAGCTCACCTCGGCACCCTCTCTTCTACAGCTCACCTCTGTGCACCCTCCTCTACAGCTCACCTCTGCACACCCTCCTCTACAGCTCACCTCTGCACACCCTCCTCTACAGCTCACCTCTGCACACCCTCCTCTACAGCTCACCTCTGCACACCCTCCTCTACAGCTCACCTCTGCACACCCTCCTCTACAGCTCACCTCTGCACACCCTCCTCTACAGCTCACCTCTGCACACCCTCCTCTACAGCTCACCTCTGCACACCCTCCTCTACAGCTCACCTCTGCACACCCTCCTCTACAGCTCACCTCTGCACACCCTCCTCTACAGCTCACCTCTGCACACCCTCCTCTACAGCTCACCTCTGCACACCCTCCTCTACAGCTCACCTCTGCACACCCTCCTCTACAGCTCACCTCTGCACACCCTCCTCTACAGCTCACCTCTGCACACCCTCCTCTACAGCTCACCTCTGCACACCCTCCTCTACAGCTCACCTCTGCACACCCTCCTCTACAGCTCACCTCTGCACACCCTCCTCTACAGCTCACCTCTGCACACCCTCCTCTACAGCTCACCTCTGCACACCCTCCTCTACAGCTCACCTCTGCACACCCTCCTCTACAGCTCACCTCTGCACACCCTCCTCTACAGCTCACCTCTGCACACCCTCCTCTACAGCTCACCTCTGCACACCCTCCTCTACAGCTCACCTCTGCACACCCTCCTCTACAGCTCACCTCTGCACACCCTCCTCTACAGCTCACCTCTGCACACCCTCCTCTACAGCTCACCTCTGCACACCCTCCTCTACAGCTCACCTCTGCACACCCTCCTCTACAGCTCACCTCTGCACACCCTCCTCTACAGCTCACCTCTGCACACCCTCCTCTACAGCTCACCTCTGCACACCCTCCTCTACAGCTCACCTCTGCACACCCTCCTCTACAGCTCACCTCTGCACACCCTCCTCTACAGCTCACCTCTGCACACCCTCCTCTACAGCTCACCTCTGCACACCCTCCTCTACAGCTCACCTCTGCACACCCTCCTCTACAGCTCACCTCTGCACACCCTCCTCTACAGCTCACCTCTGCACACCCTCCTCTACAGCTCACCTCTGCACACCCTCCTCTACAGCTCACCTCTGCACACCCTCCTCTACAGCTCACCTCTGCACACCCTCCTCTACAGCTCACCTCTGCACACCCTCCTCTACAGCTCACCTCTGCACACCCTCCTCTACAGCTCACCTCTGCACACCCTCCTCTACAGCTCACCTCTGCACACCCTCCTCTACAGCTCACCTCTGCACACCCTCCTCTACAGCTCACCTCTGCACACCCTCCTCTACAGCTCACCTCTGCACACCCTCCTCTACAGCTCACCTCTGCACACCCTCCTCTACAGCTCACCTCTGCACACCCTCCTCTACAGCTCACCTCTGCACACCCTCCTCTACAGCTCACCTCTGCACACCCTCCTCTACAGCTCACCTCTGCACACCCTCCTCTACAGCTCACCTCTGCACACCCTCCTCTACAGCTCACCTCTGCACACCCTCCTCTACAGCTCACCTCTGCACACCCTCCTCTACAGCTCACCTCTGCACACCCTCCTCTACAGCTCACCTCTGCACACCCTCCTCTACAGCTCACCTCTGCACACCCTCCTCTACAGCTCACCTCTGCACACCCTCCTCTACAGCTCACCTCTGCACACCCTCCTCTACAGCTCACCTCTGCACACCCTCCTCTACAGCTCACCTCTGCACACCCTCCTCTACAGCTCACCTCTGCACACCCTCCTCTACAGCTCACCTCTGCACACCCTCCTCTACAGCTCACCTCTGCACACCCTCCTCTACAGCTCACCTCTGCACACCCTCCTCTACAGCTCACCTCTGCACACCCTCCTCTACAGCTCACCTCTGCACACCCTCCTCTACAGCTCACCTCTGCACACCCTCCTCTACAGCTCACCTCTGCACACCCTCCTCTACAGCTCACCTCTGCACACCCTCCTCTACAGCTCACCTCTGCACACCCTCCTCTACAGCTCACCTCTGCACACCCTCCTCTACAGCTCACCTCTGCACACCCTCCTCTACAGCTCACCTCTGCACACCCTCCTCTACAGCTCACCTCTGCACACCCTCCTCTACAGCTCACCTCTGCACACCCTCCTCTACAGCTCACCTCTGCACACCCTCCTCTACAGCTCACCTCTGCACACCCTCCTCTACAGCTCACCTCTGCACACCCTCCTCTACAGCTCACCTCTGCACACCCTCCTCTACAGCTCACCTCTGCACACCCTCCTCTACAGCTCACCTCTGCACACCCTCCTCTACAGCTCACCTCTGCACACCCTCCTCTACAGCTCACCTCTGCACACCCTCCTCTACAGCTCACCTCTGCACACCCTCCTCTACAGCTCACCTCTGCACACCCTCCTCTACAGCTCACCTCTGCACACCCTCCTCTACAGCTCACCTCTGCACACCCTCCTCTACAGCTCACCTCTGCACACCCTCCTCTACAGCTCACCTCTGCACACCCTCCTCTACAGCTCACCTCTGCACACCCTCCTCTACAGCTCACCTCTGCACACCCTCCTCTACAGCTCACCTCTGCACACCCTCCTCTACAGCTCACCTCTGCACACCCTCCTCTACAGCTCACCTCTGCACACCCTCCTCTACAGCTCACCTCTGCACACCCTCCTCTACAGCTCACCTCTGCACACCCTCCTCTACAGCTCACCTCTGCACACCCTCCTCTACAGCTCACCTCTGCACACCCTCCTCTACAGCTCACCTCTGCACACCCTCCTCTACAGCTCACCTCTGCACACCCTCCTCTACAGCTCACCTCTGCACACCCTCCTCTACAGCTCACCTCTGCACACCCTCCTCTACAGCTCACCTCTGCACACCCTCCTCTACAGCTCACCTCTGCACACCCTGCTCTACAGCTCTCCTCTGCACACCCTCCTCTACAGCTCACCTCTGCACACCCTCCTCTACAGCTTACCTCTGCACACCCTCCTCTACAGCTCACCACTGCACACCCTCCTCTACAGCTCACCTCTGCACACCCTCCTCTACAGCTCACCTCTGTACACCCTCCACTACAGTTCACTTCTGCACAACCTCCTCTACAGCTCACCTCTGCATCCCTCATATACAGCTCATCTCTGCACCCCCTCCTCTACAGCTCACCTCTGCACACCCTCCTCTACAGCTCACCTCTGCACCCCTCCTCTACAGCTCACCTCTGCACACCCTCCTCTACAGCTCACCTCTGCACCCACACAACTACAGCTCACCTCTGCACACCCTCCTGTACAGCTCACCTCTGCTCACCCTCCTTGTGACACCACTGGTAACCCTATCAGCTTTTTTGCCATCTTTATTTTGCTTCTCTAAAAAGCATTATGCCATTTTTATTTGTTCTGTTGTATTTTCATGATTATATTCAGATAGCAGATGTGCCCTCCAGTTTCTATCTGCTACAAGTAGTTAATTTTCTATCTTTATTTTTCAGATTCTGTTGATTGTCTTAAGTGCCCATGGGATCATTGGCCAAATCCTCAGAAATCCACATGTCTTCCTAAAATCATTGAGTATCTGTCTTATGAAGATCCCCTGGGAGCAACGTTAGCAGTAACCACCATCCTCTCCTCTCTGGTTCCAAATGTCATCCTGAGACTTTTTGTCCTACAAAGGAACAGCCCCATAGTGAAAGCTAGCAATTACAGCCTGAGCTGTCTTCTCCTCCTCTCCTTGTCTCTGTGTTTCTTTTGTTCTTTGGCTTTCATTGGATCTCCTCAAAGAGGGACATGTCTCCTACGACAATCTGCCTTTGGCATGGTTTTCACACTCTGTGTTTCTTGCATCTTGGCCAAAACCATCATGGTAGTCTTTGCCTTCATGGCCACCAAACCTGGCAGCAAACTGAGGATATGGACCAGCCCTTGGGTTTCAATCCTGATAATATTCATCTGTTCCCTTATACAACTAACTTTATTCATCTCTTGGTTGTCACTTGCCCCTCCATTTCCAGAACTCAGCACTAGATCACAGTTGACACTCATAATCTTTGAGTGCAATGAAGGCTCAGCTACCGCCTTCTGGGCCATGTTGGGGTATCTTAGTCTCTTAGCCTTCACTAGTTTCATTGTGGCCTTTTTGGCTAGGAGGCTTCCTGACAGCTTCAACGAGGCCCAGTATATAACTTTCAGCATGGTGGCCTTCCTCAGTGTCTGGATCTCTTTCATCCCGGCTTACCTTAGTGCTCAGGGCAAGTACACGGTGGCCATGGAAATTTTTGCCATACTGTCTTCTAGTTGGGCATTGCTGATTTGTATGTTTTTTCCTAAATGTTTCATCATATTGTTCAGACCAGACATGAACTCCAGGGCATATCTTATGAGAAGGCCTATCTAATTCATAATTAAATGTTAGATAAGAAATTGTGTGTTCTTTGAAGTTCATAAATCTATTCAATTGTTAATTTGCCAGGTCCATCCTTCCTTCCTTCCTTCCTTCCTTCCTTCCTTCCTTCCTTCCTTCCTTTCTGTTCAGCCAATCTTCTTTGTTTCCTTTTACTTATTCTTCAAAAACTGGCATGGTAAAATATATATATACATTTTTTTTCAAATTCTTTATTTATAAATTCTAAATCAGTGAGAAAAATTATTTTGTAATTTTCTTCTTTTTTAATTTTCCTAAATTGGTTGGGAAGCAGGCCAATCAGGAAGCCAGGCGGCGAGTCATTACACCCGGCATCCTGATTGGCCAGAAGGCCGGCACCATGCTTCCTCGTCACCTGGTGACAAGGGAGAATGGAGACAGCTTTCTGGCTAATTAGGAAGCCAGGCAGCAAGTCATTACACGGCACCCAGCTTCCTTAAAGGGGACTTCCGGTATCGGCAAGTATCGAATAAAAACTATCAGTACTCGTACTCGATACCAAAAAAACGGTATCTGTGCATCCCTACTTAGTACTGTGGCGGCATCTAATGAATTTTGGGGTACATTAGTACAGTGTAAGAATGAGATATCATTAAGACTGACAGTTCCCCGTCTCCACAAATAATTGGAAGCCAATGAGTGGTTCCCAATCAGATGCCAACTAGTGGTCACATGACTTTATTTATAAACAAAGCCAGATGAATGACAGCTGTAACCTAGAAATAATACTTTTCTTAAAGTGGCCAGTACACAGGAAAAAAAAATATAGACGTTTTAAGCTGTACTCGAGGTCAGCCATTAATCATAACATGTTGTGGCTCCCACTTTGTGTAGTAAGAGTTAAACTCTTGTTTAGTATGGTGGTGGCAGGAGCATCCTCACCACTGGATGATCTATACCAATAAGTCACTCTTTCCCATTCCTGAAACTGTCCTGCATCAACAGTCCTGCCTTGTATGTAAGAATGTCTAGGGCCTGCCCACATTCCGGGTGCAGAGGAGACCACTGGATGCTTTTCCGGGAGATGGAGGAGATGTTCATCTATTAAACAACCCCCCCCCAGACCAGAGGCATAAATAAAAACTTCAGGGCAAGAAACCATGAAGGCCCCCACCACCACCACCACCACCACCCACCTTGGCAGTTACTGGGCCCTCTTCTTCCTTTCCGACCCCC